TTTAAACATAACAAAATAATTCACATGTAGCAGGTGATAGCAAATAGCCCCCCACTGAAGTTATCATCAGTATTACAGATTTGATGCCCACAACTGGTTTTGCAGTCCAGTAAGTTGAAATTTGACGTGTATTTAAATTTTTTAAAAGGTCATGGAAATATTATCTGGTAATGGATGACATTGGAAAATTATACTGGAATTTACCAAATTTTGCAAGTATGTTTTTCCCCTCAAATCTGAGACTGTTTAATTGATGGAGACCATTAAAGTCTCTTCAGAGGTGACACCCATAGAGCTAAACCGTAATCTGTGACACCTCTGCCTGACTGTGATAACTTTTTTTGTCAACTTTTTAATTTGAAATAATCTTGTTATTGTCAGTGGAGTAGCCTGAGGCTCCCGCTTGATGACAACACTTTATACATTTATTAATGGGAAGAGTCTTGCTTATTCAACAAATATTTATTGAATCAACACAGTATTAGGAATAACACAGATAAATTATTAAAGTGACCTGTCCACTGTAATGGATGAGAATAAAATTGTTATTACACAAGAGATGAATTAAAAAAAAAAAAAACCCACAGCAAAGTGTAAGGACTTTTACCATTTATTTATTAGTTAGTTTATTTAACACAGAAAAACATTGTTACATAAGGGGAAGTCATACAACAGATGTCTGGGTATAGGGCATCTATCACTGAAGCTAATTTGTCACCACATCCCTGGGTAGGCTTTTAAATTCAGGTTAAAACAACTAAACAGGGTGATACAACAACAGGTTAAACAAATTAGAATAGATATACAGCTATATAGCTATATGATATAGATATAGCATGCATGTACAGTATGTATTCCTATGTGTTTGTGACAAAACTAATTCAGTGTTCACACCTCTGTAGTTGTTTAAGTCACCATTTCATCTGTGTACTGAAAACTTTGAATTCTGACTGTGTTTTTGATTCAGGCAGTAAGATGTTCCATAATTGCAGGTCTTTAAAAACTGAGAAATTCAGAAATATAAGTTGGAAATACTAAAACTAGAATACTGCCAAGGTTAGCCAAAAGAGCCTAATGCTTTGTGCAGAAATGTTAGCAATACACCAAGTTTTCCAAGGCAGTCATCAGGCCCCAGTCTGTCTTGCCTGTTTTCCCGCAGATTGTCTTATCAGGCGTTGGCATAGCTGCACCCCGGGACAGCTGATGGGAGGAGTCAACTCAACTGAACTTAATCCTTCGTGTGCTCCAAAAAAACTTAAACAACACCCAAACAGTCATTTATTTAGCACCAGCAGCAGATATATCATGTACTGTATGTATGTGTTTGAAGGCGTGCTGTGACCCAACAGTTCACAGATACTTAGCTTGCTTGAATGTTTTTATTTATTTATAGTTATTCTATATTGTGTGTCAAAGTGCAGAGGCTGCGTGGGTGATAATATCTCGCTATTTTGTGTCTTCACCAGGTTGACTTTTAGCAGCAAGAGCCTGTCCTGAATGTGTTCAACAGCCAACTATGTTCTCCCACTGAGGAGAACCTGTGAGGTAAGTCAGCTTATGAAATGGGGAAACCACAACACACAATCAAGCCTAGAATAGATGTATGAATGAGGTTTTTTAACAGAAGTCATTTTCCTTTCTATTACAAGGTATTAGCTACTCCAGGCAGGCTGTGTGGAGGAGTGTCCATGCCAACTAATTTCCCTGGAGCCCGGTCTCATGGAGCTCCTCCGGACACAGAGATAGATGTGGCTTGGCAGGAGCTGATGGCCATCTCAGAGCTGCAGGTAACTCTTAAGCACCGACACACTAAGGGCACTGTAAGAGTCAACTTTATTGCAAAATGTTACTATATGTAGCGAGTATTATGCCAGATATGCCATTTACTGTAGGTTATCACAACACACCATGCTTCACAATCATGGAGGTGCAGGTTACATTATATTTAATAAATGCATGTGAAGACGATGTATGAAATGTAAATTTTTGTGCTTCTGTGGGCCCTGAACTCACCAAGGTGTATTGCAACGTAAGCAGATTTGAATATATATTATCAGTTAATGAGTGAATGGGGTGTTTCAGTGTCATGTTGAACATAAAGTATGAAACACCAGCTAAAATGTGGTTCATAAATAAATACTAAACTGAATATGATTGGTTCATTCCAGTGGAATAGATACATATTAATCAATTTTCATGTGATGCCTACTTCTGAAAAACGAATACATACTCAGGCGATATGGGCAACAATGGCCTGTTTGAGTGATGGTAGTACGAAGAGATTGTGAGAGGGGGCAAGTGCTGTATGTTGCTAGCGGCCCCCCTGCACCGCACAATGGCCACCTGTTTCCAGGTGAAACCTGATCACATCTATGAAGAGCCCTTCCTAGGCTCGGGGTGGCATGCTGAAGTGGGGGCAAACTGTGTCTATGGCAAATGAGATGTATTTTGAAAAACACACTAATTACCTCAGAGGTCTTGTGAATTTAAATCAATCATTTTGTTCTTGTTGAATTCACACATATGCACATGCCTGTCAATCATAACCAGGTGAGCCCCTTTTGTTTTCGTTACAGGAGTTTGAAGTCCCCAGTGAAGGCTCCTATGAAACAATGCAGTACCAAACCATGGAGCCCATGGTCCCTGTGGGAGGGTACGGGATGGCTCAGTCTCATTCTGAGCATCCTCCTGCTGCCTGTGAGCTCAGCACTACTGACACTTACAATGGTTGTTACTCTGAAGAGGTGCCTGTCTGTCATCGTCCAGGAAGCAATGCAGAGGCAATGTACGGACACTCTGAATCTCTGCTCAATCAAAGAATGCTCCCCGTCTCTTCTCAAACACAGCCCTCGCTCATGGCTCTTAGGGAACAGATGATCATGTCAGGTACCAGTCAAGGGCACAGGAGAGTCAACGCTTGTTCTTCTCAGGGTCTAAATCGGCACATGCTATGGACTACACATGGACAAATTTCACATGTTCGCTCAGCTGATGATCTTGAGTCAGACTCTGGTCTGTCTCTGGGTTCTAGTCCACCTTTGGCCTCTCCCGATAACCCTGCTGGTGGTGCACCAGGTTACCAAAGTGTAGACATGGGCATAACATACAGTGATGGTGAACCAGACAGCATGACTGAGCAAGCCAGAAGAGCACACATCCATTACACAATGGACTACGAGAATCAGTCTCAATCATATTTACACTCAGGTGCACATTCCTCTTATTTTTCACCCCAACCCACTTTATCTCATGCACAACCTAATGCTCTGACTCCACGGTCAGTGAAACAGCAGGGCCAGGCTGCTCTTATGAATGACCTGTACAATGACTCTGGAGTAGCCAGCAGAGGGAGCTCTCAGCATAATATGTACATGAAACCACAAGGAAGCACCTCCACTCCCAGTCCTCTGAGCAGAGATGAGCGGCGGGCAGTGGCTTTGAAGATTCCCTTCCCCATGGAAAAGATTATCAACCTACCTGTAGACGACTTCAATGAGCTTCTGACACAGTATACTCTGACAGATACTCAACTAGCACTGGTCAGGGACATTAGGAGGAGAGGGAAGAACAAGGTGGCAGCTCAGAACTGCAGGAAGAGGAAGCTCGAGAGCATAATACACCTTGAACGAGAACTGAACCAGCTGCAAACCCAAAGAGAGCACCTTGCACAGGAAAGGCTCGAGTTCCAACGCAGCTTGGCGTTCATTAAATGTCGCCTTACAGACCTCTATGCAGAAGTATTTTCTCACTTAAGGGATGAAGATGGACAACCATACTCAATAGATGAATACTCCCTGCAACAGACACCTGATGGTAAAATTTATTTGGTACCTCACACAGCTATGCAAAAGAGAGAACAATGCTGAAGAACTGGGATAGTCTCCGTACTTCTTTATGCTCTTGTGCCAACTGAAGTTAAAAAATTTTAGTTCATGTGGTTCTGAACTAACCTTCATATGTACAACACCATGCCTGCACCAATGGGCATTTGTCAAGTTCTTAAAAATTGACTGAAACCACACAAGTACTTTGTATAAAAATATTTTATTTAAAAAAGTAAAAAACAAGTTAAAAAAAAAAAAAAAAAAAAAAAAAAAAAAGATAAGTCTTCTGCACCTGCATCATTGTTCAAGTAAACCTGAGGAGGAAAAACAAAAAACAGAATCCAGTTAAAATAATTTTGACTGAAAAATGTGATGTGCAACATTTTAATAACTTGTACCTGATTGAGCCATTGTCACTGAAATGAGATCAGGTTTTGGAGACCATGTGTAGAGTTACCTAGAAAGCAGAAATACCAAATAAGTAACAGGCAATCTTTCAAAAGAACTGTTCTATTAAACAGCATGCAATTTGTTGTAGGACCTCTATGCACAATTAAGAGGCCAATTTTACCAGTCAATGGTGTAATGTCATAATAAAAACTTGTTTGCACAAAAAAAAAAAAAAAAAAAAAAATGTTACGTCATTATTGGGCTACACAACTTTCTACCAGCTACATGACAAAAATCAAGATATACTATCAGTAGTTGAGAAGTCTGGTCTTACCTACAGACAGCATTTAAGCCTTTTGGTAGCTGCTGCCTGCTAGCCTCAGGCTTCTGTTCTCACTCTCCCCTGCTTCAATGATCCTGGCGATGGTTTTGCTACTTCTCTCCCTCAGCTGGCTTCCATGGCTAGCCTCAAAGACTTTGCATGTAAGCTAGCATCCTCCAGAAGATCTTTGCAGAACTCAGTGTAGAGTCTTTACCAAGTGATGGGCTCTTTATGATGACTGCATTTGCACTTGTCATTCCTCACCCCCTATTGTATTGGTATTTTAAATGCATTGACTTATGAGTTATGAGAACGTGATGCCTAGTGTGGGGCTTCTTGCACATCAAGGAAATGGGCTTTTCCAGACACCTCATGACATGTAAAATATGACCCTCTCCCCCACTTTGTGCAGTGTCTAATAGTGAACCCTCCCTTTCCCAAATCACTGAAGAGGCTAACAAGACTTTTTAAAAAAAACTGAAAGATGGTTTATTTCAGCTTGATTTGATGCAGTTACAAATAAAAACCAGACCTTAAAGAAAAAAATCTACATAAAACCTCATTGGAATGCTTGCTTTCCAGAAACACATTTTGATGAAAAACAAAAAAAACAAAGAAAAATAAAACGTTTAAATGAAGACCCTCCATGATTTATCTACTGTACATCTCTTCTTGCAGCAGCTGTAACCTGCCACAACTGTTTGGCTGAGCAGATTTAGGAGGTAAACCTGCAGCTGCCCTGTCACTTCGCTTGCTCTCCTCTCCTTGCTCTCCTCTCCTAAGTACTCAGTCCTGTTGAACAATACGGAACAACATTGTTAACTGTGCACTGACTTTGTATGACCTGAGATCCAGAGTGAATTTTTAAATGTTATCTGCACTTAACGATTCCCTGCAACCACAAACTCTGGTTTTATGATACAAAAATTAACAGTGCAAGCATGCCTTCAAATTCTTACCGCTTCACATTTCAAAATCGTCCAGGACGGCCATATCCGTTGTTTGAGCCACCTCCATAGCCACCTGGAAGCAAAAACAATAAACTGTCAGTTTACATGCACAAGGCAGAGTGACAGCACATTATTACACCTGCTGTCCATCTATTGACTCTTACCACCAAAGTTCCTGCCGCCACCACCGCCTCCCCCACCAAAGTTGTTCTTCATGGGGCCAAAGTTAGAGGCCTGAGGATCGTAGTGGCCCATGTTATTGTAGTTGCTGCCGCCGCCTCCGCCACCACCACCACCACAGTTACCTACAAATAGATCATTTACAAATCTGTTAAGCACAGCTAGAACACAAAATAACAGTTAATGTTAAGATGAGCCAAAATCCTTACCATAACCGTTGCTGTCATAACCATTTCCTCCATAGCCTCCGCCTCCACCTCCACCCTGGTTGTAACCTTGGTTATAACCACGGTTGCCACCGTTATTATATCCCCCAGGACCACTAGGACCACCTCCATAGCCTACAACATAAATGACCTTTGAGTACATTGCCGAGCTTCAGTGATGAAAATACTGTCATCTGACAAAACTGCCTACTCACCACCATCACCTCCATTGCAATTGTAAGGACCATCTCCGTATCTACCCCTGCCGCCTAAAAACAAGCCAATATACAAAGTTAGGTTTCAGACATTACACTAGTACAATTAAAAACAAATTAGGTAAACCTCCATCAGAGAATTCTTACCCTGATTGAAGCCTCTGTCGTAGTCATAGGGCCTTCCACCACTGCTACGACCTGAAAACAAAAACAACTCATTGGCTCTGGAACACTGCCAACGTGAACTGTGTTTCTTTGCATATCAATATAAATTTATGGCTTAAAAGGGAGCCTACCCCTCATACCCATTCCTGCACTCTGCATCTCCTGCCTTGTCAGGGCCTTCCTCACTTCACAGTTGTGAGAGTTGATTGTGTGGTATTTCTGGACTGTGGGATAGACAATGTATCCAGTAAGTAACCAGTCAAGACAATGATGTAGTTAAATTTGATTAAATCGGCAACCGAAGGTTATTACTTACTGACAATCCTGTCAACCGAATCATGGTCATCAAAGGTGACAAAGGCAAAGCCCCTCTTCTTTCCGGTATTACGATCAGTCATGATGTCAATGACTTCAATCTTGCCAAACTGCTGGAAGTAATCTCGCAGGTGTGACTCCTCTGTATCTTCCTTGATGCCTCCAACAAAGATCTTTTTAACTGTTACATGGGCACCCGGCCGGTTTGAGTCCTGTGATCAAAGACATTTGTTGCTGTAAGCAAGTGTTCCCTTCTTTTACATGCAAGTCATGTTTCCTTAGTGTAAATTATTGAATGGTGTACCATATTAAGCTTTACATACCTCCCTAGAAACAGCTCGCTTAGGCTCTACCACCCTACCGTCGACCTTATGGGGGCGAGCAGACATGGCAGCATCAACTTCATTTACTGATGAGTATGTAACAAAGCCGAATCCCCTGGATCTCTTGCTGTTGGGGTCCCTCATGACCTGAAGGAAGAATCTTCAATTATTCCCAGTCTTACTCATAAACCTTACTTACAATCACTTGATACTCCCATTTAGACCAGTTCAACAGCATCACAAATTACATCTCCAAATTGATAATATAATTGAAACAGCATCCCTCTAAAATCAATTTAGAAAAAAACATTTTAAGCCTCAGGAGGGGAGCACTGACTGCAGGACTGTTGTATTGTACACAGATTGTAAACAGTAAGCAAGTTATTTTGTTTAATTGGAATGTCAGTGAAAACATCCATTTGAACTTCCCACAGCCCAAAGGGACATGTTGCCAATTTTGTGAAGCTTAAAAAACAGCAAATGCTTAATGTTTTTGCATGAAAGGGGGGCTAATATGAAAACCGCTCATCAAAACAGTTGCTTTAGACTAATCGTCGCAGTGATTCATAAACTCCCACTTACCACACAATCTGTAAGACTTCCCCATTGTTCAAAATGAGCCCGCAGACTCTCATCTGTGGTCTCGAAGCTCAAACCTCCGATGAACAGCTTGCGGAGCTGCTCCGGCTCACGTGGGACCTGGACAATGGACAAAGACACAAACATCAGGATACAATAACAAATATTCGTAAGAGGCACCGGATGCCATTTCTGCAATAATGGTAGTCACATCAAATTGTATCAGCATTATCATCGTACTATCCGTCCATTAATCCAGCCCTGCGTCACATATCAAAAATCAGGCCATGGTGGAGGAGGGAGACGTCGCCGCCATTAACGTTAGCAGATTATGTTGAATACTTTTCGCAACAATTACATGCAAACGCCAAATGAATGTTACAATGTGCTGCTCTTTGTCGTTTGTATATAATTAAAGACTATGAGCGTTTAGTGAAATGCTTATCTGTACATAGCTAACTGCATGAACAATAGGCCACGAGGCCCAGCTGCTATAAAATGGCGGCTTTACAAGGCTTGATAGCTGCGGCAGCACGGATGAAAACGCAGTCTGCATTAAGCATCGAGTGTCCATGATGGGTTTTAATAACATGTGTGTTACGACACCAAATTTGCAGGAAAGGACACATAGAATGTTCTCAGATTGTATTACTCACGTCTTTCGCCATATTAAGACTAAACCCTTGAAGACTCCTTGTGAACTGCCCGGACAGAGGTGATCTGCGTCAGACGAGCACAGCCTGCTTCTCAACAGTACAATAAATAGTAACGTATACACCTCTTTCACACTGTGATTGGTCTGTAGTTCCCGCTGCAGTCTGTCGTCAGCAGTGATTAAATCCTGATTGGATCGAATTCAATCAATCACTACCAGCATCCAATAACCTGGTGGTAGGCGGGCATTTCACGACGATGAAAAATGAGCAAAGAATATTATGTGTAAAATGGTATTTCTAAGAAGTTGTAAGGTAAGTAAACACACAATACACGCAGCAGTGTTGCTACAATGGATGTAAAGAGGGAGGGCATGGAAAAATAGCGAATTCAACGACAGATCACCAATCCTAAATGACTCTGACTCATGGCTTGTGGGTGGAGTAGTGTAGCAACATCTATATTAGTTTTAATGGTCGATAATATTATATACACACACTCATGTGCACTTTCTGTTGAGGCGCACTATGCAAACATGTTGCATTAACCCCGTCCCTAAGTCTTGCAGACTGGAGTTGTAATCGTGGTAGGACCACATTCGCGGTGTGTATGTAGGTCATCAGCTGACAGAGGGGCGGGTACGTTCATTGTGCGCCTTTAACCCGCGCTTTTTACGCACAGACGAGCGCACAGCACCTTTTTGTGAACCAAGGAAGACGCTAAAGTAGCCTCAGCGCTGGCCTTACAGATTACATGTCCACAAAAGACAAGCGTTGTCGTTGCAGTTAAGTGGTGAAAACCGGCGGTCTACACATCCAAAGGGTAAGAAATTGTTTACACATCAAAGCAGCATAGTGTTGCTGCAATAATCGTTGTGCGTGTGCGATTTGGTATCAGTTAGCTAGCGTTAGCTCGTTGAAGCGTTAGCTTGCAGGCTACCTGCTTTAGCATGTTTGCTTTTCATGCCCAGTGGTTAGCTAGTCGCTTAGCAGACACAACATCATATCTACATTGCTGTGTGCACTTATAATTAAGTTTATCGGTAATGCTATTTAATTTGTAAGTGTTTAAGCGAGTGGACCGTTATCGACGGGTGTTCGACCAGCTAATCAGAGAAGATTTTTTTTCATTTGGCTGTGCATGTTGCAGCTTGGTTAACGACAATGAAACGATCCCCTTGGTTGATATGTGGTAGCAGGTAGCTTAGCAGACCAGCGCCGACTATAAGTTTCTCCTTCGTGCTTAACGTTATCTTGTTACTTTGCGTCGAATATATCGACTAGGGATTAATTCATATGCTCAAAAACATTAGCCTCTCCATCGTTTCTTCTCGTACAGGGAAGTACCTTTGGCCTGCAACAGCGTGGTGTTCAACAACAAACTTTGCTATGGGCAAAAAGTCTCGCGACGAGGAGTCCTCATCCTCTGATGAGGAAGAATATGTTGTGGAGAAGGTGCTGGACAGGAGGGTGGTGAAAGGCAGGGTCGAGTTCTTTCTCAAGTGGAAAGGATACTCAGAGTAAGTTGTACCAGTGTGCTAACTAGTACCTGCACAAACTCCACTGCAGTATTAAGCAACACTATACTGGGCTATAGATAAGCTTAAATATCACAAATATATTATGATATATGTGTATTGCTCGATGTTTCCACGCAGAAACAAAATGGGACAACAGCCATTAATATATAATAATAATCTGAATGTGTCTTGGGTTTTGGAAATTTTGGTGAAATAAAACAAGCTATATGAATATCACCTTGGTCTGTGAGGAACTGTAATGAGCATTTTACCACTTCCTGTCAATTGTGACAAAACGAGGAAAGAACGAAGCTATGTTATGTTGTAAACAATCACTAGTTGAACACCTGATATATTTTCCCAGGTATGCAGGGGCATTCATTGCCTTTGTGAGATGGGTTCAATACTACATAAATCAAAAAAATCTACTGTAATGCCTTTTTAAAGATCCTGGAAAAGAACAGTATATCTGATGATACAGTGATGTTCATAACATTGTAATTCAAGTTTGATATCATAATATTGATTTCAGTAGATCATCCATCTCTTATCGGTACTGTTGATCAAGAGTTATGGCTGTACTAGCACTGACTTCCTGCATTGTGATCTTTCTCAGTAAGCACAACACCTGGGAGCCAGAAAAGAATCTGGATTGCCCTGAGCTTATATCTGAGTTCATGAAGACCTACAAGAAAAGCAGTGGTGGAAGCTCCACACCTAGCAGCGGGGGCAGCAAATCAAGCGCAGGCCCCTTGGGACGCTCCAAAGACTCGAGTAGCTCGAAGAAGAGAAGCTCGGATGATGATGAGGAGGGTGGAAGTAAACCCAAAAAGAAAAAAGAGGTACATAATATGTTGGTGTGTTTCAAATTTCAAAATCTATTTCAACCAAAATTAAAAAAATAAAACATAGAAGTCTGCAATTATTGCGATTATTTGCATGTGTGAGATTAACACCTTGTTTCAAGCTTTGTGTGCTGCACAGTGGGAACTCCAGAAGTTTTCCACTATTGGGAGAAACAATAGTTACACTCTTGATTTAAAAAGTCATTGTGTATATGGTAATTAACAGGTGATGGGTCTCTCATCTTAGAGTTGTGCGCAAAGCAGATTTGTTCAGCCCATCCCCCTATCTCTCAAGCACACTGACAATGGACCCATCGGACTGGCTAAAAACAACAACGCACACATGTTTATTAGTATATAAGGAAGTCAGATCCGATCATAAGTGGTCACTCAAACACTTGGAGATGCATTTTAAGGCTAGGTGTGAGCTGATGTACTCAGACCCATGTTAATGCCATGTCTGAACAGGGCCAGAGGTGGTCTGCGCCACATGTGGCCACATTCTATCTGCAGCGTGTACACAAATGTGTCCTGGGCCACATTGAAGGACCACCTACTCAACTGATGTCCTGTGCCACAGTCTAATAATTAGTCCCACCACGGTTTCATAATGAACCAAAGATATTTTACTAATTCATATGGCTAAAACCATATTTCACTTTCTTGTCTTTCAGGATGACATTCTAGTTGCTCGGGGCTTTGAGAGAGGACTTGAGCCAGAGAAGATCATTGGAGCAACTGATTCATGTGGAGACCTAATGTTTCTTATGAAGTGGTAGGTTTTGTTGATACATTCATTTCAAAATTTGCATGTAGAGCTTTCGTTTTGTGTCAGCATTATGGGAAGTTTAATCACTATTTAAATGTTCAAATGCGAAGAAATATTTCAGATACCACAAGTGATTTAAAAAAAAAAAAAAAAAAAAAAAAAAAAAACAACAAAAAAAAACATGAGCTTAGGTATTAACATTTTCCATTTATTTATTTATTTTTTAAACATCAAAGATCATCTGAAAAATGTAGTATGCCAAAGTCAGGATGCAGTGTACTATAAGCTACAATTGCATGGTCAGGATATTGTACATTTTTTTTCATGGCCAATGAATGCATTGGTCATTCTCCTTAATCAGATACTTAGTATTCACAGTAATGAATAAAAAACTGGTTTTGGCGTTCTTCTGGTTTCTGGGTGTCAACCTCTGCTAGGTGTTGCCTGCAGTGGCTGCCATCTGTAATACTTCTGCATGCAACTTGTAATGATTCTATAAAACGGCAGCTTTCAATGTGCCAGATTGCTACTGGCAAATTACCCATTAGCAGCACTAATAGTCTAGCTGTCCGTTCATATACAAACAGTAGGCCACATCATAAAATTTTATGTCATTACACATCAGCTAGATGTATATATGTTGTACCTCATCACTCGTGTTGGGTCAAAACCCATTTCAGGGTGTTTGCTGGCTCAAAATGAGGTAACAGTTGTACCATAGTGCTGTTTTGTAAAAAAAAAAAAAAAAAAAAAAAAAAAAATTTGATAAACAGGAAAGATCTACAGCAATATTTAGAGGAAAATAAATGTAAACATAGTCAGATCACAAGCTCCATCTGTCTACTGCCTATAAGAAGCATTGGCTATGATTTATAATCCAACTGTATAATTTAAAAGAAAGTGACAGTGATTTGGTCTTAAAATATTATCCGACTTTAATAATAAAAAGGTGTTCAAATAATAAATGGCACAGAAAAATGTTCAAATCACCTTTTCTGTTACAGAAATTCCACTGAAAGCACATCTTTATTTTTATACTATTACATACTTCCTTTTGCTTTGCATCTGCAGCTATGACAAATTTCTGAGATGCACAGTCCTGAACTAATTTTAAAGACGTTTTGTTTTACGTCTTGCAGGAAAGACTCTGACGAGGCTGATCTCGTGCTTGCCAAGGAGGCCAATCATAAGTGCCCACAGATTGTCATAGCCTTCTATGAGGAACGTCTCACCTGGCATGAAGACACTGACAAGAAGGAGAAAGGTGCTGTAAGCGCGTGAGTGCATCACCTCAGGAGGAAACGGGACCTCCTCCACTGCAGGGACAAGTTTGATTCAGACATTTTTCACACCAAACCTCCCATTCTTCCTCTTTACCATGTCCAACAACAACACAAAGACAGCGGACACAGTTGTGTTATCTCCATCCATGCCCCATTGGAGCACAAGGGCCCAGACTGCTGAGAAGGATCCATCAGACAGGAGGAGAAGCTGTAGCGGACATGGGTGATATGCTACTGGGGAGGGTTTCTGCTGTTTTGTCTTTGTTTTCTTTACTGTTTTTTTTTTTTTTTTTATGTCTGAACACATCATGTTTTAGTGCTTACGGGATACAGTTAAGTCATTAAGAGATTTTGCATCCACGTGCACTGATGGTCATCTGTTAAAACTCAGAATATAAAGCCAGAGTTTGTACAAGCTGTTAACCATGAGCTTGTCCCAAGTTGGGTGCACAACCCCCATCCTGATGTAAGCAGTGCCCCCCCCCCCTCTTTTTTTTTTTTTTTTTTTTTTTTAATAACCCAATGATGATAAGAACGTAGTATTGATATTCAGGAAGCAACCACAACAGCACTTCCCTGGTTGCATGATCACTTCCTTTTTTAGAACTTTTTTATCTCTTGTAGATTTGTGTTTGTCCTGTCTATTGGGGTAAAACTACTCAATTTGCAAACTTGCAGAGGACACCGGCCAATTATGTCTTTATAATGTAGTGATTTTTTTTTTTTTTTTTTTTTTTTTAAACTGTAATTTTTTTATCTCTTATTTCCAGGTTTTTAACATGTAAATGTTGTGTGGTGTTTTTTTTTAAATTTCTTTATGCTATCACCATTTGAAGAAAAGGACAATAAAACAAATTTTACTGACTTCTGTACCCCCCTTTTTTTCCTTTTAACCGTAGTGTTATCATTGGATCAGTCTCATTTTCACAGGTTAGACAATCTTCACTGTATCCAGATAAAATTAAACCAGCATCCACACCAGCCGTTGGGGTCTGCCACCTTGTGGCTAAAAGATGAAGATCGTTTGGACTGTGTGACCGCTCCTTATGATCACAGTTAGTGATACATTGATATAATTTTTTTTTTTTTTTTCTTTTAATCCACTTATCAATTGGAGTATTCTTGATGTTATTGTCATGATAATTTTAAACATTAAAAGCTGTTTCTGATTGGGTTATGTGTATCCCATGGTTTATTGTAATGGTTGTTCTTGACTGTAAGTATTACATTTTTTCTGGGACAATGTAACTACCAGGCAAGTGGTGGTCAGTTCTTATACACATGATGGATGCCAATTTTGTAGTTTGATCTGCTGTGCTCCAACATGGACTCTTAGGACCAAATGTTCAGTGTCAACAGACTGAGATCAGCTGTTTTTTTTTTGTTTTTTTTTTGTTTTGTCATAATTTTTTGCCTTTATTCAGCATCATGAATGAAGGCTCTGACCGTCTCCCCTTGACATGCAGTACATTACTCACGTCCCTTGATATCTATTAGCTCATGATTTCATTGTCATTTTCTTTCATTAAAAATATTTTGTCCTTTCGGATCCTTGAGTTTTGTCAATTTTTGCTCGGGCAGAATTTTTAAAAAGTAGACTATTTCTTGTGTGAATTAAATATAACAAAAATGTGTACAGTAGCAGTCTTTAATAAACAATTTCAATGTTAAAGTGGGTTTCAGTTGGCTGTTATTTCAGGATGTCACTGGAGGTAAACATGTTACTTGAATTTGAATTAACTTGCACTGCAGAATGAAATGAATTGTTTTGGATGTAAGTAATAAACTGAGTTTTAGGGGAATAAAAAAAAAGATGTAAGTTACAATTATGAGACCAAAGCTGTTTAATTTGGTCTCTGTCAAACGGACCATTTTTCTTCATTGTTGAAGAAGAGCACCAGCTGCTCTAAACCAGCAGATGGTGCTGTTAAATAACGCTGATGTAAAAGTCATAACTACTTTTTGTGCAAGTCATTCACAATTCAAAAACTTATAGTTGCCCACTACAGCAACTCATAAATTAAGCTTTTCTGATCAGCCTTTATGGATTAGTATCCAACTTTTAGAGGGACATAGATTCATGTAATGTTCTCTGACTTTTACATCAACCTGTCGGTCTGCAAACTCATGTTATGCAGTGTTTAAACTCAGATTTATTTAAATAAGTTTCTACAAGTGCCATATACAATATGACTGGCTGAAATATGTCTAAACCACTTACTGTGGTACCCCAGTTCAGTTTGATGTAATTTTGCCATCATAAACGTGTCAGTGTAAGCATTACATAGTTTCAACGACAAACCATATATACAGAATATGTAATGCTGCAATGTGTGAGGAAAATCTTCTTTTTTTTTTTCACAATTTGAAACTTGCTGATGACAAGGACGGAGAAAGTTCACCAACTAATTTTCATTACAGCTAGAGATGTGAGGAGGAGCCCCCATTTTATCACAATCTGGCTACTGTGACAAAAAAATGGGATGTCAGTTATTTATGAAAATATTGTTGTTTACTATATTAAAGAAAAAAAAAGTAGATTAAGAATAGAGTCTCTGCTACAGCGAACAACTGCAATATCAGTAATAAACTACAGTGAAGGTTGAGTCTAATCCTTGTTCTTCTCTCACCACCACCTTTTTCTTCCTTGCTTGCCTTTTATAGTGACTCTCACACACACACACACACACACACACACACAAAGTGCTGCTCAGCTACGTCTAAAGTGATGGAATTTTCCTAGCAAAAAGGCTTTTACACTCCAAATGGAATGCAAAGGTCACTAGTAAATTTCCAGCCCCTGGGACCATTAAGCTGGGCAAAGGGAGCGAGCAGCAGGCTGTTTTATGGAGCCTGGAGCTGTCTGCTGACAAACCCAGGCCAGAGGGTTTGGTTGGGAAAGCCACAGTGGCACTCATGGGAGCTCTGCCTGTGATGTGTGTGGCATATACAGATGTAGAGACAGTGCTGGGGTTTGGGCTACAGGCACACAGACTGAAGCTTCATTGACACTAAACATCTAAATGAGGAAAATCAGATTCAAGCCCTTTGCTAGAAATGAGCGTGAACCGGCGTCTGGGAGGGGGAGTAGGGAGCTGTCTGTGCCTTGTTTAGCTGAGTGCTTTTCAGGGCACAGTTATAGATTTTTGACAATGCACTTGAACATGATTTGATATTTTTAATGAAACATTTCAACTTATTTTCCTTTAACTCAAGAATGCTGCTTTTTTAGCCAAGTCTGACTTGCAAAGTGTCTTTTTTTTCTTAATGGGGACCATGTGTTAAAATATAGGTACAAGTTTGGTGTAAAAGTATTTATTTATTTATTTATTCATTTATTTATTCAAAGCAGCCTCCATGTACTTCAAACACACTCCCTCCTTTCCCAGTAACTTCTAGTGCAAATGAGTTCCAGTGGGTATTGCCCATGGCAGAGGTGGGTCGTCTTGCAACACATTACACCGAATGAGTGTCAGGGGAGCTACTGTGCAGCTGTGGTGAGGGAAGGCACTGCTGCAGTGGGCCTCATCAGTGCAGCTTGTTCAAGGGTACCACTAAAACAACAAACAAATAAATGTGCACTCATACAGATAACACTAACACACGGCACACCACACTCTATATGAAAAAGAAATGTCATAGTCTTTGGTTAGTGTCTCAGAGAAACTGTGAAAAATTTCCCAAAGTGTTGTAAGTCATGAGTATCACAGAGGCCGGTGTAATTCGATGTGGCCTTTCTCGTGCTGTGATCATATAGGCACAGCTGCCCAACAGCTGTGTCTCAGACTCCATTTCCTCACTGCAACCAGACGAAAAGGTCTGCAGTGATGACTGGCGCATCATCTCCCAGCACAGTGCGCTGATCTGTGTGAAGGTGATTGCGATGTGATGCTCTAATTTGGGTGGCTATCACACTTAATGTGCAGTAAAGCACCATAGACAAAGCTTCTTCCCTCTAAACCCCC